TTTAAAAAAATTTCGCTTGAAAATGGTCACTGCAAGACTGGTTATCCTACCCCAACTTTTTGATACAGTAGAGTAAAAGGAAATCCCCCTTACATCAATAAACTTTTTGAGGGGTTCATCAAAGATATTTCTAAGGTAATTTGTCATTTTGCCTCTTATACTGCGCCATTTCCCTTTCGATGCTATGCCTGACATTTATATTTTCTACATTGAACCAAAAATAGATTTTAAATGCAAAATTAATACTGGTTACACTTATATTAACTCCAATTCTTTCACTGTGTTTGTCTAGGACTTGAGCATATGGAATCAAGAAACTTGACATGTCTGCTTAATCAGTTGTATCAAATCAATCGTTGAATCATACAATAATTGCTGGGGTTTTTTCTGTCAGGACGATCAGTGATTTTCCACAATCGAAAAACAATGCTCTCCTCGCCCTTTATTTGAGCTCGATAAATCTTTAGCTCCTCTAGATTCTGAATCATCGCATTGACCTTAAAAACAGCAATAATTGTATAATGTAATGAGATCAACATATCATTGATTTATTCCCAATTTAGCTCAAGTGAGCATTTTGGCCAACAGGTCTTTTGATTTCTTATCTTTATTTTGCCTCCTAAAAATTTCAACTTGAATCCGCTTTAATCCACAAGGGGTCTTTATTCTACTGGGGTCATTTTTTTCACGTGGGGTATGCAGATTTTTAGGGTGATGACACTTTTTCTACGGGCAAAAGGGTCATTTTTCGACGTCGAATTATGACCGGGGTCATTTTTCGCTGTTGAATAATGACCGGGGGTCATTATTCGACGGCAAAAAATGACCAACGGTCATTATTCTTTGGGGTCATTATTCGTCTTTACACCGGTTCGTATGACTTGACAGGATCTGCATCATGGATCCTCGCACTTTTAAACTTTTAGTTTTATAGGGTTTGACGTAAATTTTGTTTTCAAATTAGGAAGTTGACGTCTGCTCAATAGTATATTCATTGGTTTATTGAGGTCCCTTAATGTTTTTGATCGTTGAAAAAAGGGAAAACTTGTTTCACACTTTTAAATATAACTTAGATATGTTGTAATTTCTTTGGTTGTGGGTAGGAGCGAATGGGATCTTCGTTGATTCCATCCCCTTGTTGTCTAATAGCTCGTAATTCATTCTTTTGCCTTTCGTATAGATGCTTCAATTAAGTTTGATGGATATTTTTGTCTGGAAAGAAATATTCTAGATTCAAATAGTCTTCTATTCTGTGACCCTCATCTATTACATATAGTACAAATTCTCCTGGTCCTATTAAATGGGATGCTTCGTTTGATATGGGAGGAATGGCATGAGTTGAAAATCAATTATTGATTGGGAATATGTGCTCTTGGTAGAGATCCGTTTTGATTCTTCTTCCCTCTTTTATGATAGGAATGTCAAAAAAAGGCAATTTGTTTCGTTTATTTTCATTGTAAAAAGCAAACTTTCATAAAGTCAATTAAACTGCTGTTGAAATGTTGTGGATATTGTAGTGGACAAGCGAGGGGTCTGAGGGGTCTGAGGGGTCCCGTCGAACTATGTACCGGTACTCAAAACAGTTTATATGCGGTCCCTTCGAGACCTCTTCCCTGTCCAAAATTGAAGGAATAGATATGGATCCTGGATGTTATCCAACCGTCATTTATTGGTCAGGCTAGTTGTATTGGCTTGTCTTTTTTTGTAAGTGTGGTCTTTAATTCGCATCTCGCTGAGTCAATCTAGTTTATTGAAAAGAAAATATTTATTAGGAAACTTATGGTAATTTGAATAGTGAACACATCACAAAATACGGTTTGCTATTCGAATAGTGAGTAATGAATAGTAACTAAGTTAGAAAGTTAGTTTCTTTACTTCTGATTGCCTTAATTATTTAAGAATTAAATATCATTATAATTAATTTATAAATATGTAGTAATTATAACAAAACATCTTCCTTAAACACCCCATATCTTCCAAAGACACCAAAGTATATCAGACCTCTGGCCTCCGCCCTCTGGCTGATATTGGTGTCTCGGGATGATACGGGGTGTGATATGGAAAAGAATATGTATTATTCTCTATTTATCAGCAACTACATAATAATTTCAGTAAATATCAGCAAAAAAAAAGTATAAAGTTTGGCACTATCAGCACTTTTTGGTCCATTAATGGTAGCGTACAATAATATACAATTATTCGCGGGTATGTTAAGGCTACACCTGGATATTCTACTTGCCTACAATATGACCTCATAATAAGCCATATGGCGTGAACTTTAGAAATAAAGATTTCTGAAAATCTATATTTAAAGGTTTATTTCAGGTCCTAGAAATGAATTGAAACATGCAAAAACATAGTGTAAACTAAATCTGGTCGTTTTAGGGTGGTGTTAATAGCTATGTATTTATCACAGGGGTTACATACCAGACCTATAACGTCATAACTGTTTAACAAATATTAGCTGAGTGAAAATGAAACGTAGCGAGAATTCATGAAAACAAATATATGAAATGGGAGTTTTAAGTCATATACCGGGAATATCATATGTGATTCATTAGGAATTAAAGATTTAAAATAGGTAAGCTGATTTATTTTCCTAATTTCTTCGTATAATGAAGACAGGCAGTGGTTTGTAATCCCGATTAGGCTTTCCTCTGTTGTTCTTTACAAAAGACATGTTAAAGTTCAACACTACCCCGAATACCTTGAAACATAATTTTTAATTCTATAGGAAGCTTGCATTCTACAGTATTTGGAAAGTGCTGCTAGAATCGTGTGGTTAACATGAATTGATGAAAAAATCTTCGATCTTATAGAAAAAAAGGAAAAATTTCGGTAAGATTTCATGAGAAAATGTGAAATATTTATTTCTGCGATAGGAGTGTAGGATTCTAGCTGCCTAGCTGCACTTTTCATCGCAAAGAGATAGTTTAACATAAATATTTTTACAAACAGAAATAAATAATCCCCGAGGAAGTGTTGAACTTTTCACTTTTTTATTAAGGCAAATCTTTCTATTAATAGACGTCACATGATGACGTCGTAATGGCGTGCTTCTTTTAACCTTAGCCTCGTTGACGCTTATAGAATGGATAATAATAATAAATGTTTTATACATGACTTTTATGTTTTATAAATTTCACATTTTACAAAAAAGTGTAAGTTCGCGGAATTCTGACTGCGTGCTGCCTTAACATACTTGCGTTGCTGTTTTTGAGGTCAATACGAGGATTTAGTCACCTGATGAGTACAATATTCACCGAGTCCGAAGGGCGAGGTGAATAATGTACTTCGAAAGTGGCTAAATCATCGTATTTACTGAAAAAAACCCCCAGCTATAATTGTTTTCTTTCAATATGATTTAACAATTAAATAATACAAATCATTATGCAGCTCATGTCATCTTGTTTACATTTGCTGAAGTCCTAGCCAACGCAAATATGGAGGCAGGGTTAAATAAACATTACCAGTCGTATTAATTAGAATTTTTAAAATCTACTTTAGTTGTTATGAAAAAAAAATAAGGCCAGGCTCTTTCTAGGATAGATTTTGATAGGGGGGATTATCAGGGGAAAATGACAGCTGAAAAACATCTTTGATTATTATGGAAAAATGACAACGGAAAAAAATCTTTGATTAGCTCCCACGCGACGAGAATTCTTTTAACTTTTAACAAATTTTGTTAAATTATAAATTATATATTCGCTAATGTTATGTTCACCTGAGTGGAAGTCAGTAGTCAGTAGGAAGTGAAAAAAAACCTTTCCAAAATTATTTGTATTAATTTTGAATTTCCAGATCTATTTTTAGTAGGGATGTCAATTTTGTCAATAATTCATATTCGAATATTCAATGAAAGTATTCGAATATATTCGAATATTCGATAAAATAAATAAAATCTGGTATATTTTGAATGCATCATCCTACTCTCATGAAAAGTTTAGTGTAGGTATTCTTATATTTTAAAATAAAATTGTATGAAAACTTTTGTAGGTGTAGGTGTACAATAAGGGATTCCAGTTGATACTTGTCAATGTTTGAAATAAATAAGTGATTTAAATGTAGAAAAGTATAATTTTAACAAATGATACATGTGTATTTATAGTAGCTCCAAATGAGGAACCAGTCGTCTTACCTAAGGCAAGATAGTCGTATACTGTTCAGATTTCAATACGTGTAATTAATTACACTTATCAGCCTAATAAGAGATATGATTATAATCTTCGATACAATGTTTTTAAAATATAAACAAACAATTCCATAGACAATTTTCCTAGGTAATTGACTAATTTCCCGATAATGAATATAGAATTCAGGATTATGTACAACCTGAGATAATCAAGTAATTTACTCATTTATTCTAAAATTGAGCCCTTTACAATATTAATTACAGATTAATTCTATCGGATATTTATTTGAATGATCAATTAAATTTGTTTTGATAAATATACTGTTCACGTCTTGTAAACATTCTAAGAAGGTTTTCATTTCGTTGTCCTCGATTCTAGATTCGATCGTATTTAATAAAAACTATGAAAGTACGTTTTGTATTATGCATAAAGCATTATTGTATAAATCTTAAACACCTTACTCAAAACAAAATAATATAGTAGTTCTATATAAGATAAGAAAATAGCGAAAGAAATCGGGCGATCGAAATTGATCGCTAGTAGATTAAACAGGGATAATTCCAGCACTGTTTCAATCAAAATTTATTAATCACAGTACTTTTTTTTTATGAAATCTGAAAAACACCGAATATTCGAATCTTAAATTCATATTCGAATATCAACTTATCGAATGAATATTCGAATGTTCGAATATTCGTTGACATCCCTAATTTTTAGACCAATGGAGAGAAAATAAATCCTTAAATTCACCTGTAAGGTCACGTGCTGATGAATATAACGTAGTATTTTTCCTGCATTATTGGATCTCAGCCAATCAGAGAGATAGGAATTATCTAATCATATAACAAAGCAACTTGTTTATAACAGATAAATTCTGAGAAGGCTATCAGTGAGGAGAGCGACTTTTATAGACAAGTCCCCCAAATTGAGGATATCATGCATTGTGTTGTTTTTGTCATCGATGCAGAGGTTCCAAATGAAAAATTGCTAAGCGACCACTGCTTGGAACAATTCAAAGAAGTTGAAACAGTGCTTGAGGCTGAAGGTAAGGAAATTGTTCTGAAGCTCGTTTTAGCTCATACACGTCAAACTCTAGAGGAATAGCTATCTTATTTAAAAATAACTTTGATTTTGTAGTACACAACCAAATTTTAGATAATTCTGGCAATTTTCTTGCATTAAACATAACTGTTGAAAATAGAAAAAATCAGTTTGATATGTATCTATGGGCTAAATGAAGATTCTCCTATTTTTATGAGAATTTAGATAATAACCAAATTTGGCAATGAAACTATTATTGTAGGTGATTTTAATCTGGTATTACACCCAAACAAAGATTATTTTAATTATTTAAATGTTAATAACCCAAAAGCCAGAGAGAAATTACTCGAAAAAACAGATTGTCATAATTTAATAGATAATTATAGAGAGTTTCACCCAGGAGTAAAAAAAAAAAGTTTTACTTGGAGGAAACCAAACCCTCTAAAACAAGCACGCTTGGACTTTGCTCTTGTATCCAACTCATTGTTGACGGATATACAAAACTGTAATATCCTCGGAAGGTATAGATCAGATCATTCACCAGTTTTACTGACCATTAAGTCAATAATTTCCTACATGGGAAAGGTTTATGGAAATTTAATAACTCTCTTTTGAAAGACCCAAAATATATTGAAATCAAAAATAATATTATTAATCACATTAGGAGATAATATGCAGTGCCAGCTTATAATTAATCTTGTATTAATAACATATCAAATTCTGAAATACTGTTTACTATAAATGACCAATTATTTTTAGAGACACTTCTAATGGAGATAAGAGTTAAAACACTCTCATATGCAAGCTATATCAAAAGGGAGAGGGTAAAAAAGAGAAAGACTTAAGTGATGAAATTACACAACTGGAAAAAATTATGACAATAATGTTACTATTATTGCTGAGAAGAAAAGGGCATTAGAATCAATAAGGCAACAATAGCTTATCGGTAATATGATAAGGTCAAGGGCAAAATGGGTCTTGAAAATATACATTTTACGAATAAATTAATGCCCAAAATACATACGTAATTAAAAGTGAAAATAATGAAGTTAAGGAAGTAACAAAACAATTTGAAATTTTAGAGGAAGTTGAAAAATTTTACAAAACATTATATACACCTCAAGTAGTAGAGGATCTTAAATTGAATCTTAATGAATCCCTTGAAGAATTTAATGTCCTAGATAAAAGACAATGTCTTATAATAAAAGTCCAGTTAGTGATGGTTTTACAGCAGAATTTTTTTAAGTATTCTGGAGATATCTGGGTCATTTTGTTGTATGCTCTTTGAATTATGGCTATGAAATAGGTGAATTTTCTTCCACACAAAAACAAGGAATAATCACCTGCATACCAAAAGAAGGACAAAGTAAATTTCATTTAAGCAATTTGAGATCAATATCACTGCTTAACGTTACTTACAAAATTGGATCAGAATGCATAGCGCACAGAATAAAACAAGTTTTAACCAAAATAGTAAGTTCAGAAGAAACAGGTTTTATATCTGGGAGATACATTGGAGAGAATACACGTCTTGTATATGATTTGATGGACTACAAAGGATTGAATGATATTCCTGGAATTTTAGTCATGATAGATTTTGAGAAACCCTTTGACTCTGTCTCATGGACTTTTATTCAAGAAACATTGGATTTTTTTTAAATTTTGGACCATGTTTTTGCAACTGGATAAAATTTTTTCAAAATAATATAGTTTCGTGTGTGTCTCAAACAAGAATTTTATCCAATTTTTTTAAGTCAGGGCGGGAATGTCGACAGGATGACCCAATTTCTCCATATATATTACTCTTATGATCTGAGATACTGTCTATTAAAATCAGAAATAATGAGAATACCAAAGGAATTAAGATAAATGACACAGAGTACTTAATGTCACAATATGCAGATGACACAATGATAATTCTTGATATTTCTGAAAAATCTTTAAAGGCTACAATGCTAGAATGAGAAGAATTTTATAAAATGTAAGGTCTCAAAATCAATCAATCAAAAATCCAAATTGTTTGGATTCGAAGTAGGAAATATTTTGAGGATAGACTCTGTCCTGAATTAAAATTTCAATGGACAACAAAATTCAAACTATTAGGCATTTATTATGATGTTGACTTAGCAAAGATCACTGAACTGAATTAAGACAAAAAGTTGGTTAAAATTAAGACCCTCATTGAGCAATGGAAAAAAAAGAAACTTAACTCCTATTGGAAGAATCACATTGATTAATTCACTACTTATATCACAACTTAAACATTTATTTATTACTTCACCGAACCCATCTTTGGATTTTGTAAAAGATCTAAACAAAATTATTTTTATTTTTTAATGGAAATCAAATGTAGACAAAATAAAATGTAAAGTTGTGACTCAGAAGTATGCACAGGGGGTACTAAAAATGGTTGACATTGTTTCTTGTATAACAGCTTTGAAATCTACATGGATAAGAAGAATAATTTACAACAATAACTCAAACTGGAAAATTTTATTGGAAAAAAGTGTTGACATGGATAAACTTTTTTTAAAAGCACAGGCTCTTGTTTCGTACATACGGGGCACCCCTACTTTTTTTTACCACAAGGTACCTAAGGGTGAATTTAAAAAAAATGACCACCAAACTGAATTTTTTTTGGCAATATTATCAGGAAAGTCTTTATTTTCAACATGAAGCATTATTTTTTATTTCACAGATCTCCAAAAAATATTGAAAATTCAAAATGTCACAAAAAGGTGTTGCACTCCTGACAATTTTAGCATCATTTTTGGGCATAACTTTTTGTTAATTGAGATATCAACGAGATATTTGGCAGGTATTTAGACACTATCTAAAGACATATACTGAGACATAGAAATCTATTTTCATTGCGTGTATTTTTAGTGTGGGTTGATAAATATGCGTTTGGTCATTTTTTTTTAATTCACCCCTAACTCAATTTCAGGCACCCCCGCTTCAAGCTCGTATTTTGTTTATTTATCAATCATTAACCTACTTTAAAATGACATCGTTCGCTTCGAAAGACTTTTTTCTTGTCAAATTAATCGTTTCGGACGTCTCTGGTCGAGCCTCTTTATTGTAAACCACTCATTTCTTCCTCGAAAATTATATCGATACAAAATAAGACTACGAATCGGATACATTGAATTCCGGTTGGGTTATAAATGTAGGTTAAATCTAGAGACTTACGAGTATTTCTTTCCGAGGTCTCTGGTTTTATCCTACAATATACAATATTATCAAAATCTTTAAATACTTTGCTTATGTCAATGAAGCAATACATTTACAGAGTTCGTTGTCAAAACCTTAGCCTCTCTATCCATGGTTTTCTGAATGATTTCTAAAGTCTTTATAAGTCATTGAAATATACAGCCAGGGAATGCAATAATATAAATAATAACAATAATAAACACCTCCCGGCAAAAATGACAATCCATACTTCATACTAACATTAATGAACCCTGTCTTTAAATTAGCCTTGCTTCCACCTCTATTTATCTGTTACCCACATTCTTTTTTAATTCACTCCCTCTTTCTCTCTCCTTTTTTCTCTTTCCCCCTCTCTCTGTCCTCTCACAAAGATTAATACCACAATGCCAAGATTGTATTTATTTTATATGTTAATGTTTGTTTTATAACATTTTAAAAAAAGGTATTTTTTAGGAATTTAAAGATGAAAAATTCATATGGTTTGATTAATTGCTCGATTAGTGGAAGACACAGCACTTAATAATTAATAAAGGCAATGCTAAATAAAACATTATTAATTTTATCAATTTTCATCTTTCTTAAAGTAGAAAATCTCATATGTTCATTAAATTTTGAGAATGCATGTGTCCTGAAAATACCTCTAGAATATTCAATTTAACATCCATGCGTTCTGTTTTACAAATAACATGCTTTATTTAGCAACAGCTGATATTTTAAACAGAAATATATGGTAAAAGTCTAAGAACTTCTTCGCCCAAATTACTTCTTCAGGTTCGAGTTGTACATTTGTACACTGCATAGTTTTGAAGGATATTCCTCTTGAAAGGACAACATAGGCTAAGACCCCTTTTTGGCCCCTGGTTTGGGGTGTTCTTTTAGAATGATGCAACAGTTTATCAATAAAAACCAGTCATCCCTGCCACAAAATGAGTATTGGTTATGAGTTGCGGAATACACAGAGGTCATAGGAAGGTCAGAAAATATGTCAATTTCCGTATTTTCTCATTTTTAGGCAAATTTTCATCAATTTTACAGCAGTTTTGTTTCAGAAAACATAGAGCACAAGCTTGCCTATCTACTAAATTTATATATTTCATACACTAGTATCAGACGCATCATATGTATAAAAATCTCACGTAGGCAAGCTTGTGCTCTATGTTTTCCGAAGTGAAATGTATATCACATTTGACGAAATTCGACCAGAATTGAGGAAATTCGGGAGAATGTCCTACTTCTGCAGCCTCTTGTGGCCTCCGTGTAAGCTTTGAATCAAAATTAGTGCTGGTTTTAAAACAAGCATCATTTTAAGTTCTTAACCACAAACTATCACAATTTTAATTGTGTTCTGATTTTTACATCAAATAAGGGACCAGATTCGGCTCCTACCATACCTTGTCCTTTAAGGAACATTTTAAGGGAGGGATAAAAATTTATTTAGAACAATTGTTTTACACACTGATCCATTTCAATTTTAATTTATTATTGTTTTCCGCGTAGTTCACAAAGTATTTTCATGGTAAGAAAAACACCATTTTGAAAGCATTCCTTTTTATTAATTTTTTTTCATGATTTATTGCATAATGTAACCTTCGTTTGTCATGAGATATAACCTAGATTGACAAAATTTGTTACTAAAAAATTGCTTTAAACTTTAAAAATTTCAATCAATGGAAATTTGATACTAGATCTTTCACTTAAAATCAAATGATTAATATTAGTCAGTTATTTCGGGTAGTTTCTTTGACTCTGTCTTTACTGATTATTTAAAAGGAGCTGTTTATCTATAAAGCA